TGAGGCCCTGACGCATCGCCCTCACCCTGTTTCTCCCCCGTGTCCTGATCCCGGCCTTGTCCCCGTGCCCTCCCCGGTGGCAGCCTTGTCCCATCCTCCCGGGACCTCGCCCCGTGTCCCTCGCCTCCAGCCGTGCGTCCCCTTTCCAGCTGGCTCCGTCACACCCTGTGCCCGGCGCTGTTGCACCCCACGGTGACCGTGTTCCCCTTCCCTGCCGTGTCCCCTGCTCTGACTGGGCCCCGTCCTCTCCCTTGCCTGTATCTCTGCATCCCCCGGTCACATCTCCTGTCTTGATCGTGCCCGTGTCCCTGCAGCCGTGAAGTCCAAGGGCAAGAACGTGCCGAAGGAGGGGCTGAAGGGGCCGGAGGTGTGCACGGACCCCACCATGCTCACCACCTATGCCATGGGGGTCAATTACTTCAAGGAAGGCCCGGAGGTGGCCCTGAAGCCCGACTCCGAGTACCCTGACTGGTAGGTGGTGCCCAGCTCCCCTTGCTGAGTGCAGAAGGGATGTCCCTCCTGGGGTGCCTGTCCCTGCAGAGGTGCTATCCCAGAGGTGCAGACAAGTGCAGGAGAGACAGGGAATTGTTCTGGGAGGAGGAAAACTTGCTCTGCAGCCTAGAGACCTTCCCTGAGGGCCAGGGGAGGAGAACAGGATGCACTGTGCATGTGGTGGATGAGAGGTCTGCATGTCCTGGTCACGCGCTTCCATCGCTTTGACCTGTGCTTGTCCCTTTGCCCTCCCTGCCACAGCTTCACATGCTTTGCATTTGCTCCTAGGCTCTTTAAGATCCACCTCGGGCCTCCCAAGAAGCTGGAGGAGCTGGACCCTGACTCGATCGAGTATTGGAGGCGCCTGCGGAAGTACAACACTTGGCAGCGCAACAGGCTGAAGAAGGGCAAGAAGCTGTAGGCGTTGAAGAGCTGGGGATGCAGGGGCCATCCTGAGTGCCCACACAGGTGGCATTGTGGCCAGCTCCTGCTTTCGATCTCTTCTTGCTGTGGACTACTAATAAATCTCTGGTGAGGCTGATGCTGGTTACAGAGACTGTGGCAAACGCAGGCCCTTGGCAAGCTCAGTGTGGATCCCCCCCCTTGCCACCAGCTGGGGAGGGACTGAGGCAACACAGGCCCCAAATTCTTGGTGTGTTTGCTAGAACAGAAGCTCAATTTTTCGCTCGTAGAGGGAGCCTGCACCTCTGGGGCAGCCTACATATCAAATGTGTCCTGCTCCCTGCTCTGCCACTGTGCACTGCATGGCTGGGGCTTAAGGGCCCCGTTGTGCAGGGGTGTAGTGGGTTTGGGGTGGGGAATGATTGCACTGGCATTGCTCTATCCCCTGGGGGGGCTTTGGAGGCTGAGCAGCCTGTACTCCCTGGGGGTGGGAGGATGGGGTCCAGGCTCTGGCGGTGCTGCAGGGGCAGAGGGCAAGGTGCTGGGGGATATGGTTGCCCCTCTCAGCGCCACCCCTGCACTGCGCTCTCGCTTCTTCCTCCGGCAGTGGGGGAGCAGTGGCTGCTGGGACTCTGGGGTCCTAGCTTGGCTGGGCTGTGTGGTGAGGGCAGGGTCTTTCCACAGCAGCGGGGGCCTCACTGCCCTGTCCCCATGTGTCCTTGGCTGGCTCTGGCCTGGCAGAGCCCAGCAGCACCCCCAGTGCCCCAACGACCTGCACAGGGGCTGTGCCCAGCTCCCTCAGGGGCTGCGGAGCATCAGGGTTGGCAGCTGCTGCGCCTGCGGCGTGGCACAGGAAGTGTTGGAGGAAAGCAGAAGTGCTGTGCTGCGGCGGGGAGGGGGCGGGGGGATATTTTGGGTTGAACCCTCATTTCCGCTGCGTGGGGCTCCGTGTGCGCCCTCAGAGCTGACGGGGCTCAGGCCGAGCTGTATCCAGCGGTGAGTGCCCTGTCTCCCCTCTCCTCATCACCTCCCAGCATGTCCAGCCCCCATATCCAGCAGCAGGTGAGCTGCCTTCCATCTCAGAGCCCTCCTGCTCGGGTGATTGTCACCCAGCTGCTGCAGACAGCTTGGTCTGGGGACAAGTGCCCACCCGGGGTGGGTTGGTGGGGAGGGACTCAGGGGGAGGACAGAACCTGTCCCTGTGTGCAGCCCACACCATCCAGGGTGATTCACACCATGCTCCCCTCACTGCCGAAGCCTTTGCTGGAGTTGGGGAACTGAGGCAGGTCCCAGCCCCAGGACCCCCCATGTCCTCTCCTTTAATCCCCTCTGTGGGCTCCCTGTGGTGGCCTGGCAGGGTTTATCCTGGCTCCGGAGCCACCACCCAGGTGACAGTGAGGGGGATGCTGCCAACCCACTGGGGTCTCTGCCAGGAGAGGAGTCCCCAGGCTCAGGCCTCCACGATGGGCCCCATTCTCTGTGTGCCCTGAAGGGACAGGTAGAGTGACAGGGGACATCCCCTCTTTCCAATTCCTTGGACCCTGTCCGGCCAAGGTTCTGGTCCTGGATCCAGGATAATGTGGCCCTGGCTCCTTGCCCAAGGCTGGGTGGTGAGCATGGTCCCCTGTGGCACTGTCATGGCTCTTGTTCTCCAGGCATGGATGGGTAATGTGTCATTCCTGGCCGGCTGCTGAAGGCCGGATCCAGCAGTGCTGACTGGCCAGCTGCCAGCGCCTCCCAGGGAGACCAAACCGCCTGGGGCTGCTGCGGGGTGGTGACCCAACACCGGCAAGCTTGTGCTGGTGGTGCTCCCCCTCGCTACACCCTGTGCCTAGCTGGAGTGCTGTGTGCTAGGTGTCTGGCGGCCCAGCACCCGCTGACATCTCGTCCTCTCCGTGTCCCCAGGCAGGGACAGGATGGGGGACTGGAACATGCCCATTGGCTCGCTGGGCGAGGAGGTCGTGGCACGGCTCTGTGAGCTCCTGGATAATGCCAGCCGGGGCTGGCGCAAGCTGGCTGAGGTAGCCGGGGTGGAGGAACGCTTCAAGTGCAGGTAAGGCAGGGGGGCATTTTTGGGGGCTTGTCCCTCACCAGGTGACAATACACATGTGGGCACAGCCCTGCCACAGCATGAGCCAGGGGCATGTGGGTCCCCTGTGTGTCCCCATCCTCCCCAGAGGGGAGGTGGGCTGCGGCGCTGAGCTCTGTGGACACCTTGCAGCGCGGAGGAGCTGGAGTTGTGCTCACTGAAGGTGCTGGAGGCTCGTGGCAGCCCCACGCAG